GATAAGAGTCTTGCAGATTTTCTTGCCTTGGCTGGCTTTGCACCACCATCCTCAGATCTCAGCCTCCTGACTAGCTAGGATGACAGGCGTGAGCCACTGGCGACCCCTAATCTCATTTCTCCTTAAATACAGCGTCTTCCAGTGATAAGTTAACACAACATAGTTCTAGTTCATTTTCTATCTTCCCTTTTTGGTCGGGTAGCAGAAGTTTCAGGTAATGGGGTCTAAACTCTGGGCCTGGGTGCTGTCCCTCAGCTCTTCAGCCCAAGGGAAGCACTCTACCACTTGAGCCACAGTGCCACTTTTGCCTTTAGTTTTTTGCTTATGTGGTGCTGAGAAATGGAACCTAGGGCCTCATGTACACAAGGCAAGCACTCTACCACTGAGCCACTTTCCCCACCATCATTTTCTCTTTTTCTGTGTTAGTCACCATTTTATACAAAGAAGAACACATTGTGATCATGACATCCCAACTTTGGGTGATCAATTAATGAGCCAAGACAGAGACCCCATGGAGCTCAGTGCCAAGCCATGAATGCTGGGGGCTCAGTACTTCCCAGTGGAGGGTACACTGCTCTCTGGACTCTGCCCTGCACTGCTCAGGTTATTTCCTACCAGTGGTGTGAGAAGTAACTTTGAATGAGCTCTTAGTGTCTCCATTTAACTTTCTTGACACCGCTGGGACTGGGAGCACAGACAGACCTGCATCAGGAGACATGCTGAGCACGTGGGACAGGGCACCTGAGTGCTCTGGGTCATCACGATGACAAGAGATAAACAGGGCCAAAGTGATAGTAGCAGGGGACAAGCTGAGGAAACACCCTGGGGAAACCCCTCACACACACACACACCCCACCCCCGTCCTCCTCTGGCTGATATGGGCACACATGATCAATCCAGGCTTACAAAGACACTCTGTGTGTCTGCAGTCCAGACAGCCACAAGAAGGATTCTGCAACTCTGAACCTGGTTTCAGAGCCAGAGGTGGGGTGAAGGCCCAACACTGCCCGTCCCAGGATGAGCTGTGGTTTGCAGATTCACTTTTCTCCATATTGCTTTTTGGTTCCAGTCCTATGTCTTGAAGACAAGCTCTTGGTGCTCAGATTTTTTTAGCTGCCTTGACCAAGATTAGTTCTCTACCACTTGAGCCACAGCTCCAATTGTGGATTTTTTAACTTAATTAGTTTTTGTAAAGATAAGCATCTCCTGGACTATTCCTGTTCTCGCTACCTTTGATCCCCAATCTTCACATCTCAGATACCTGAGTAGCTAGAATTGCAGGTGTGCATCACTGGCCCGTCTTCATTTCTCTCACTTGTGTTTGCGGCTGAATACACATCTTTCTTTTTTCTCTGCATGCTACCCTTTTCGTTCAGGCATTTGCTTGCTTTTTATTCTTTCGGGTGTGCACACCTCAGCCGCTGTGGCACAACACAGCTCGGTTTCCTCCAGACAAGTCCTGCACAACTGCTAACTCATCCGTGGTAAGTTCCATCTTCTAGGCATATTAGGAGTACTTTCAAATGTATTTATAAGGGAAATCACAAAATCATGCAGTGTGTGTGTGTGTGTGTGTGTGTGTGTGTGTGAGTGTGTGTGTATGTGTGTGTGTGATTATGTGCCAGTTCTGGGGCTAGGACACTGTCACTAACACTGTACCATGTGAGCTCTAGCTCCGCTTCCAGATTTGGTGATTCTGTGGAGACGCAAATCTCACAAATTTTCCTTGCTTGAGCTGGCTTAGAACTGGAATCCTCAGATATCAGCCACCTGAGTAGCAGGTGAGCCACAAAATCTTCTTTCCACAAGGGCTTGCATTTTCTCTATTGCTATCTCTAAAATTCCCATCTTAAATTAGCTTTCCAGCTACTACTTTAAGGGTGAACATTTCCCCATCTTATTGGACACTGAGAGGTGGGTGTGTGAAACGTATGCTCATGCACAAGGAGCTGACGTGTTCTGTGTTTTCTCCCATAAGGGCTGTCTGCTCTCCTTGTCCTCATCCCAGAACCCAGTCTGTCATGTTGGGGCCCCTTTCTGACATTGTTCTCTTGATCTTTGTGTCTGAATCATCTCTGATTTTTGTAGTAGAAATTTCACAATGCATACTCATAGTAGCAAGTTTTCACAGCAGATTTTTATCTTTCAATATGTGGAGATAGAGTTTTTCTGGGGCAGATTTCACTCCATTTGTAAAGCACAATAATTGTGTTAGTAAATGTTGTTCAGCTGAAAAAAATTCTGCACCCTTATGGCTTCTCAGGGCAGTGGATTGGCTTCATCAGTGTCTGAGAGAGAATAAATGGAATTTTATTCTGACTGGGTGAAACATGGCATTTAAGAAAGACTGGGTGTGCGGTTTCTCACGGTACATTGCTCAAGAGTATGAACTGACTTGATCAGGTTTATTTATATCATTTCCATCTTTCCTTTATTTCCCCTGTTATTTCTGCTAATTACGAAAGTCTTTGTGTAAAATAATGCATTGCAATGGTTGATCCTAGTAACATGAGTCCTATAATTGCCCAGTGGGTCATCGAATGAGAATCAGAGCAGAGAGCTTAATGGAAAATGCACATCCCAAGTCAATTTTTGTGAGAGAGCTGCATTTAATACTCTTATTTCACACTATTTTTCTGTCCAATAATAAGGGAAAATATAAAATAACAAGCTTCACTAGAAAGTTATACAGGTGGGGCTGGGAAGGTGGCTCAGTGGTAGAGTGTTTGCCTTGCATGCCTGAGGCCCTGGGTTCGATTCCTCAACACCACATAAGCAAAGAGAAAAAAGCCAGAAGTGGTGCTGTGGGTCAAGTGGTAGAGTGCTCGCCTTGAGCTGAAGAGCTGAGGGACAGAGCCCAGGCCCAGAGTTCAGACCCCACGACAGGACCTAAAAACAAAAATAAACAAAGAAAGAAAGATAGTTATAGAGGTCATGCTAATTAAATTGAAAAGTTTAGAGCTAGCAGAAGAAAAAAGGAAAGCACTTGTTAAAAGATGATTTGGGTGTGTGTGGTTTACGCCTGTAATGCTAGCCACTCAGGAAACTGAGATCTGAGGATAACAGTTCAAAGAGAGCCTACCCAAGATAGTCCATGATACACTGATCACCAATTATGCACCAAGAAGCCAGACACAAAGCTGTAGCTCATGTCATAGAGTACCAGTCTTGAGGAAAAATTTTCAGGGACCATGCTCAGACCCAGAATCAAGACCTACGACCAACACACATAGAAAAAGAAAATCTGGAAAGATCCTGATTACATAGGAAAGATAACACATATTACCCATATGAAAACATGATGAACAATTGTGAATCATAGCCAATATCACAATTCCTCAGAATTCTAATTCATAAACGTTAAACTGTCTCTGGAAGGCACAATGAATGCTGACGAGGACAACACACAGAGTTGTCATGCTAAACAATTTGGCTGTTGCTTCTGGCCAGGAAACAGTGAGAATACTTCCATGCAGCAGCAAAGAGGGCCAGAGTGGAACTTTGTTGTGCAGGAGATTGTTCAGGAGAATGGGTTGAAAATGTTCTTACAGACTTAGTCAGGAACAATAGGATGCTAATTTAATTCAGTGCAAGTTAATTAAGGAACAAAGGATTCTCTGTGATGAGAGAGAAAACACAAGAACAGTAATGAGTGAGAATGATACAGGGGAAAACTCTCAAATGTACAGAAAATAAGCCAGGCATTGGTGGCTCACGCCTGTAATTCCAGCTATTCAGAAGGCTGAGATCTGAGGGTCATGGTTCAAAGCCAACCCGGGCAGGAAAGTCCATGAGACTTTCATCTCCAATGAACCACAGACAACCAGAAGTGGCTCTGTGGCTCAAGCGGTAGAGTGTTTGCCTTGAGCTGATGAGTGGAGACAGTGCCCAGGCCCAGAGGTCATCCCATGA